GGGTGCACAGGCCAGTGGATGCTAGGCACGAGAACACAGGTGAAGACAAGTGTCCCAAGCCCAAGGCATAAAGAACTCTGTGGAAGGCCACATGCCACTGTGTAGGGTATCCCCTCTATTTCCACCCTAACAACTGTCTTGGTTTGGGGGTCTTTATTTACCCACAGCTTTCCTGGCTGTGTTGGTTTGGACATTGATCAGATTTCTGTTTTTTTCTTTCTTTCTTTTTTTTAAATCTGGATAAAAGGCTATTATTTGTGTGTGGCTAAGCCACAAACTGTAGTTTCTCCCCTAAATCCCATCTTGCTTCTTGGTAAAGTGGGCAGCTCCTTTTGGCTGGCAGTTAAGTTAGGGTTGATCCAGGAGACTCAGAGAACACTTCCTGATCAGGAATAGGACGTCCTAGTTATCCGCTGGCCTGCATAACAAAATACAGTTCTCCACTTTGTTTTGGATGGCCAGGCATGGAGGAACACAGCCGACTGAGTAGTTATTATTTTGGTTGTTGTCTTTGATATGCCAAAGAAATGATGACACAGAAGCCAGGGGCTTGGCTCAGGAGCCAAAAGCTTGTTAGTGATTAGAGAGGGGATAATGTCCCCATAGAGTTTCTCATTGTATGTGTAGAGCCCCAAGCTGCCAACTCTCACTGTCCTGGGCTTTGAAGACATTAAGAGGTCCCTGAATGACACCCCAAGTCGCTGGGCATGTGGAAAGGGCCAGAGGCAGCAGGGTCTGCCTTTCTCCAGGGTCCAAGTTGACCATTCACCCAGGCTCCTCCCTGTGGAACAGTGTCCTGTCAGTCTCCATGCTTGAGAACAGAGGCAGGTGCATCGTAGCTCCAGCTCATTCTCCTTCTAGGCCAGGTTGCAGACGGTCAGGCCTTTGGTCTAGACCAGGCCCCTGATATGTCGTGTTGGGCCCTCCCAGGATTCTCAGATTGTATTTGTTGCCAACCTTTAAAATTTAGAGGATTTCACGCAAAGATCTAGATTTCTGAATTCTCTTGAAAAATAAGGTTTGGCAACACTAGACTTGCATTCCCACAGTTGGCTGGAGTCATGGAACTGTGACCACCAAAGGCCATGTGTACACATGGGCTCTGCAGCTCCCCAATATTCTTAGTCTCCCTGGGGGATCCCACACTTGGTCATGTCAGTGGCATCTTTCCTCCAGCATGCAGGGTTGCCATGCAGCCAGCTGTGTGCGTTTCTCCATCATGCTGTCTCCATTGAGAGCCTGGCCTCACCCTCCTGAGCAGCATGTTTGTGTGCAAATTATTTAAGCTAGCGTTGCCTCAGTGGTCTCATCTGTTCAGTGCAAACTATGTTACGGCCAATCTCACAGGACCGATATGTGAATTAAATGATATTAAATCAGAGCCATTAACAGCAAGTGCCCGATGAATGTTAGCTTGTTCTTATCATCATTATTACTGTATTGCTTCTCTTCATACATTTACATTACCTGTCTGGCCTCTAAGCACTTGAGTTTAGAATGAGTCTTTTGAAGGCAAAGGATCTGGTGCCCTCTTTTCATTGCCAGCCATCCCAGTGCCTGGCACACAGCAGGTGTGTCCAATAGGTATGCGATGAGTGACACTGATGTACCAGCATGGTTAGGGGCAAGGGCTTGGTTTACTCTCACATCCCTGCTGTGCCCTGATTAGTTCCCACATCATGTGCCTCAATTTCCTTCACTGGTAAAGTGATGCCTGCTGCATAGACTAAGGGAGAGATCGTGTAACACACTTGGTCAAGTTCACCCATAGTGGTCCTCAGTGTGGTGCTGGTGTCATCTTTGATACCCATTCCTTCCTGTGGTTGTGAACTCTGTGACACTTGACCTCCTACATCTTTCCACTCTGAGGTCTCTCTGCTCACCGCCACCTCCCCATTCCTGTGCATCCAGAATTTCACAGCAGCAGTCAAGGTATTTTCAGTTGCAAGTACTAGAGTACTTCACCCAACTGGCTTAAGCAATTAAGGGCATATACAGCCAGGGGTAAAGGGGAAGGCCCAGAAGTAGGGCAGACATTGGCTCTTTATAGCCATCTCGAGATGGCTGTAAAGGCTCCATGGGTCACCTGCCTGTATCTGAGCCAATCATGGAATCATGCTGAGCGATTCCCACCAAATGGCAAGGCTGGTAGCCAATGGGAGACCCAATTTTATTTCTGAGACTTGCAGGAGATGCCTTGGGGGCTGCTGGCTTCTTATAGGCTGTGACCCTGCTCAGATTAGTAGAAACCTGTGGTGAGCACCTCGGAGCCAGCCATGTATCTTGGATCACATGTTGTTGATGTCAAATATATGATCAGGGAGGCTGGCATCAGTGAGCACCACCATTGATAAAATTGAGAGATCACATCAGCCTCCTGAGACCAGGGAAGAACACTATTTCTATTAGGGCCATGTATGTGCATGTGCTCCATAAACTGAATACCCCCACTGACCCTGAAGCTCTCCGGCAGCAATTGTCCCAGGTGTGTGACCTTGGTGACAGAGTGAAGACTGTGCAACAACTGGGGGATAACGACCTCCATCCTCCACACACTTCCACAGAGAGAGCTGAGCTGAATGAGTGAAGGGCAGCCAGGCAGGAGCCTGGGTAGGTGGGCTTATGTGAGTCTCCCAGTGCTGCTCTCAGCCTCTGAAACCTGGAACTGTATGCGGGGTGGGGGTGGGGATCTGAGGCACAGGATGGTCTCTATTTCTCTGCAAGTATTCTGCTGTTGAGTGTGTGTGTGTGTGTGTGTGTGTGTGTGTGTGGTTTCCAGACACAGCTGACTTGGTGGGTTTTGGCGGCAGACTACAGGATGTTGGATTGCATCCTGATTGTGTCACCCTTGGAACAGGAGGATGAATAAACACATAGCCTTCTCTGCAAGCACAGCACGCCTTAAATTTTAGAGATTTTCTGTCTCACCCAAAAAGAAGAAAGCTCCAGACTGACTGTTCTGTCCTCCATTTGATCCTCAAACTGCCAAGAGCAAGGGGAAAATAGACCAAATAATGAAGCCCTCTGTCAGGTGGGCAGATGCCCATAGAGTAAGTAATAAATGGGTAGTGTTGTCTAGCACTGAGCATGCTGGTGAGAAGAATGGGAAACATGATCTCCCCCAACCTGCAGCCAACTTCCGGAAGCTTATGGAATAGGTGGAGAACCAAGATGCATAAAAGGATAAATAACAGTGCAGGCCAGGCGACAGCAGCACCAGGGAAAAGCTAGAGCTCTGGAGCCTAGGGAAGGGCAGAGCTTATAAAGTGAATTGAGAAGTAACCAGTGGGGCGGAAGCTGAGCCTGTGAAGAAGGCCTGGAATGCCACACCAAGGGGGTTGTTCCTGGCAGCCACGTCCGAGGCTCCATGCACTGTTCTTGATGTAGATGCTGCCTGGGGACTCTTTGTCAGGTTATGTTTCCAGCCCTAAAGGAGCCTGGGCTTAGTGGGGAGCTTGGACCATGATGCCCTGGGGTTAGCCGGGGGAGGAAGTTTCAGCTGTAAGAAAAGAGGCTCCACGAGGAGAGAGTCACTGGAGAAAACAAGTTTAGGGGGTAACCTGGACTTATTTCAGAGGGCATAGTACACTGCCCAAAGAGGCCAAGTGGGGTATAGCCTGTCAAGAGACATACTTAGGAACCAGTGGTGCAGGGCTGCCATGGGGAGGTGGGCGTAAATGGGGAAGGAAGTTGGGTTTGAGTGCCAGATGGCTCTGGTTGTGAGGAAAGACTGCTGCGAGGGGCAGAGGCAACAGGCTGTTGTTGCAGAGTCAGACACTCAGGTACAGAGGAGATCCCTCCTCAGAGCAGGAGCAGGGCCCTCCTGTCCAGTCCTCTATACCTCTGCCCACTCTACCTGTATCTACATTTGTATGAGAGCAGCCATGGTGCTGAGCAGTAGCTCTTGTACTGACCTCCGCTGGGCCTGCTTCCTCCCCTTGGGAGCTCTGGGAAGGTGGGACTCTGAACCTATTGCCCTTTCCTGTCTTTAGCTGGTGGTCAGAGCAGAGGAGCTCAGGAAGGAGCTCCATGTTTCTGCCCAGCATGGAGTTGTGTGGGGCCTTCCCTTCAGTGGGGCTGAGCATTTTGCCTTCATTCCCAGAGAAGCCAGAGAGATCATCTACACAAAGGGGAATCTGACCTTGACCCTCTGCTTCATATTCTCATGATTGATTTCTTGTTGTGGTGCTATGGGCCAGCTCCTGTGACCCCTGCTCACTTGGGGCCTGCTGTCCATCTTTCTGCTAAAGCCAGGCCCCACATTCTCATCCAGAATCTTCTGTGTAAACAACCATAGCTTGGATTGGGTTGGGAGGATGACAGGAGCCAGAGCCTGGAGGTCTCTAGAGAATATCACTGAGAAGGAGGTAAGAGGCTTTCTCTGAGCCTAAGGGGTGGGATTGTCTTCATGATTACCAGCCCCTTTAACAGGACCCATGTGTGCATTACATACTTGAGTGCACAAGGAGTAGGGGGTGGACGTGGAGGAACATGAGCCCAGACTGATGGGGTAGTCCTCTCTAATGGAGCATGAGTGTGAGGGGTTGGGAAAAGGAGGATCTGGGAGCGGGCAGCAGCATCACTGTCTCCTCAGAGCCGGCCACAGGAACATACATTCTGCACTCTGGACTCTTGGACTCTTTATTTAAGATCCAGGGATAATCTGGGGTCTCCTCCTAGGCAGGAGGACAGGTGAGCCCTCTGAGGTATCAGTCATAGGCTTTGGGACTACCCATGTTAAGAGAGATGGAGCCTGAGACCCAAGTGTCCCTGGCCATGCCACATGGAGCAGAGCCTCAGAGGGAAAGGGCCTTGCCTTTCCCAAAGCCGATTCAGGGTCTCCGAGTATTGCTGGGCTCCCTTTGTGGGAGTATTAGTGTGGAGTTGTAGCTGTGGGGCCCTCAAGGTGTGCTGAGCACTGGGGGAAGAGAGGCAGGGCTTGTTTCACTCCAGTACAGCCTTACCCCCCTGGGCTCACAGCCTTGCTTTGCTTCTCTCAGCAGAATGCGGATCCAGAGCCCCGGACCCTTTCCCTGGGTGGCCATGTGGGCTTCGACAGCCTCCCTGACCAGCTGGTCAGCAAGTCTGTCACTCAGGGCTTCAGTTTCAACATCCTCTGTGTGGGTGAGTGTCATGGCCAGATCAGGGGCATCCTCGGACAGAGGATGAATGGGAACCTTCTAGGAGATGGGGCATTGCTGCCTTACCTGTCAAACTATGTGGGGGCTTCTGAGGCAGAGGAAGAGGATTTGGTTGGTGTCTCTGCCAGAGTCAAGGAGACAGGATTGGAGTCAAGGCCTGACTCAGAGTTGTCATGAAGAATAAATAGGATTAGGCACAGGAAAATGCTTTTGTAAACTGTGGGTGTCTAGACAGAGATTTAGTTTCATTTGTTCATTCATTTGTTTTTAAAAAAAATGCACTTATTCCTTCTATGTGTCAAGGACACGATGGTGAACCAGACCCTGCTCTTCATGGCAGTATCATGTAATAAAATCTCCAGCATACGCCTGAACAAACACAATCCTTAAACAGGAGCTCTGGGAGGAACCATGTGCCTCAAGGCCTGGAACTCCCAGGAGGGCACAAAGTGCTCTACCAGACACACACACCCCAGCCCCATTTAAACTACACAGAGCTGGCTGAGCGCAGTGGTGCATGCCTGCAATCCCAGCAACTCCAGAGGCTGAGGCAGGAGGATCACAAGTTCAAAGCCAGCCTCAGCAATTTAGTAAGGACCTAAGCAACTTGTTCTCAAAATAAAAAAATATGAAAAAGGGCTGGGGATGTGGCTTATTTATTAAGTATCCCTGAGTTCAATCCCCAGTATTTTTTTTTTTTAAAGGACTACATAGAATTGAGGTGACTCAGGGTTTGTGGGACAAGCCATTGATGGCTTTAGATCCTGACTCTGCTGTCCTTATAATCATCTGGGACCTAGGGGGATGGCATGCATGGGAGGATATGTGTTTGGTGATTGGGTCCCTCTGAAGCCAGCATCTGGTGGTGACCTCACAGCTGTCTGACTCTGCTTCTCCACTTTATGAGGAAATGTTGCATGTTCTGCACAGCTGTGTCTTATGTCCAAAGCTTCCTTTTAGCTTTCTTCCACACATTATTTCTTTACCTTCTGGTTTGTTTTTTGTTTTGTTTTGTTTTGTTCTTGTGGGTGCTGGGGATCAAACCCAGGACCTCATACAAACTAAGCAAGCACTCTAGCACATCCCAGCCCCCACACATTATTATACTAAGAAAAGGGATAATTCCTAGGGAATAGGATCAGAGAGGGATGGAGTGGGAGGCCTGCCCCTTTCTCTTGTATCAGGCCTAAGTGTGCCTGAGCCTCCCCCTTCATCCCTGGCCTAGCCATTAGCCAGGGACAGTCCCCATTCTAGCTTTCCACATCCACTCTCTCCCTCCTGTCGCCTCTCCTTAGGAGAGACGGGGATTGGCAAGTCCACACTGATGAACACCCTTTTCAACACAACCTTCGAGACTGAGGAAGCCAGTCACCATGAGGAGTGTGTGCACCTGCGGCCCCAGACCTATGACCTCCAAGAAAGCAACGTGCAGCTCAAGCTGACCATCGTGGATGCTGTGGGCTTCGGGGATCAGATCAATAAAGACGAGAGGCAAGAGATGGGAAGGGCAGCCCCACCTAGCCTCGTCCATCCCTCCCATGTTAACCCCAGTTCTAAAACTGCCTGGGCACATGTCACCTTAAACTGCCCCTATTTGAGTAGCTGAGCTGCCACACTCCAGCGAGGCCAAGGCAGGGCCTCTCAGGGACTTCTGAAGCATTGTGGCCATTAACTGACCAGTTTTTACTTGGGAAGGGGGTCAGCCACCTGGACCAGATAGGGTAGAGCCTTTTATGTCCATGGAGGAAAGGAAGGGCCAGAGTATAGCGTGGCTAGGCTCTGAGCCCTCCAAGCAGCTTAGCTACCTGGCTCCCAGGTGATGGAGCTGTCTGTAGTTACAGGCCTATAGTCGACTACATTGATGCGCAGTTTGAAAACTATTTACAAGAGGAGCTGAAGATCCGCCGCTCCCTCTTTGACTACCATGACACGAGGATTCACGTTTGCCTCTACTTCATCACACCCACTGGGCACTCCCTGAAGTCCTTGGATCTGGTCACCATGAAGAAACTAGACAGCAAGGTATGTGCCCTCTCCTTATTCCCTCTCTCATTATCCACTAAGGTGTGATATGGCAGCTGCAGCTGGGCAGTCCACTGTGGTCCTTAAGGACCTTGCACGCAGCTCCCTTCGCTGTCCTCTCTATATTTTATTTTGCAACTGTCTCTTCTACTCCAGTGGGTCCACACTTGCTCTGGGCTCTTTCTTCAGGATCCTATCCCCTGAGTCTGGCCCTGAGCCCCTTCCAGCTGAATCATTCTTTGTTCCCCTGCTAGCTCATTCCCTCCTTCTAGAATGACTTCCACCTCCCTCTGATGCTCTGGGGCAGAGCCCAGGGGATCTTTGTTTCCCCTTCCTGTCTCAGCCTTTTTTCTGCTTATTTTGTCTCTCATTTCCGTTTTCCTACTTCCCACTTTCACTTCCTCTTTCTTCTACAACATGGATCCTGAGCCCTCTAGGGGGAGGAGAGTGAAGCCCCAGAATTGGGATATGCACAAGGAGTGGGTACTGTGAGACCGTAAGAGCATCTTCATGGGGATGTCAGGAAGGGTTGGAGATCCTGGAAGGCCTGTGACTCTAGTCAACCTGTCAGCTCTCAGGTGACCTCCCCCTCTTAGGAATTAATGTGAAAAATATGATAACCTTGTCCTGGGAGATTTTGATATCTTTCCATATCTTCTGCTGATATAAAAGTCATCTTACCTGCTTAGTGGGGAGCTTGGTTCCCCATCAGTGCTTCTGTCAGATTCTATTCTGGTTATGACCTTCAGAGCATTCTGGGTCAAAGCTTATTATGCCCAGGAGGCTGGATGGTTGTTTCAGAGACCAGGACTGTAAGAAGCATCACAGCCAATTATGATGGCTGGATTTGGGCTGGTACTGTCTGTGGGATAGTTCCATCTTCTTGGCTTCCTGTTCCTCTATTTAGAGCTGTCCATAGTCCGGGACCATTGCTCAGACTAACTAACTTGCTGTGTGCCCCACACCCCTATGGTCTGGCAGGTGAATATAATTCCCATCATCGCCAAGGCTGACACTATCTCCAAGAGTGAACTCCACAAGTTCAAGATCAAGATCATGGGTGAGCTGGTCAGCAATGGAGTCCAGATCTACCAATTTCCCACTGATGATGAGGCTGTTGCAGAGATTAATGCAGTCATGAATGTGAGTGATGCTCAAGGGTCTCCGGGCTCTGGGGCCAGAGGGCTTGGAGCCAGCACAAATCTCAGACAGCCCCAGGAGACCTTTGTTTCCCAGGATTCCAGCATTAGCTTCTCCAGGACAGGCAGATGAGTATTTGGCACGAGCCATTCCTATTTCCTGTGGGCAGGGGACAAGAGGACTTGGATATTGGACCCACACCGGAGTTCTCCTAGGTTTGAGTGCTAAAATATTTTTACTCAGAGTAGGAACTTAAAGCCTATAGGAGTGAGCAGACATGAGGCCAAAGTATGGGAACCTTAAAAGGAACCAGGTCCATAAGTCCATTTGTGGAGCCCTGAAAAGAACACCCTAGAGAGTTAGTAACATCAGGGAGGGGGGTTGAGGCTTCAGCCCACTACCCTGTTTGGAAGAGAACATTTATCCAAAGAGAGCCAGAAAATGAGCATCTGGGCCCAGGGCCTTTGTTCAGGTCTGGCAACCCCTCCCTGGGACCCAGGGGCAGTGAGGGAGAGTCTGTGTGTCCCCCTCTATAATGCAGCACTCACACATACTTGGGTCCCTTTCTAGGCTCACCTGCCCTTTGCCGTGGTGGGCAGCACCGAGGAGGTGAAGGTGGGGAACAAGCTGGTCCGAGCACGGCAGTACCCCTGGGGTGTGGTGCAGGGTGAGTGTGAGGAGAGAGCACATTCCCATCTGGTGATGTGAACTTAGTCCCCATCCTGTCCTGCCACCTGTGGCACTCTGACCACGTTTCTGCATGCTGCCCTTCCCCTGTCCAACTGTGTGCCTGCCACATGCCCCACATGCCCCACATGCCCCCTGCTTTCAGTGGAGAACGAGAATCACTGTGACTTTGTGAAGCTAAGGGAGATGTTGATCCGGGTGAACATGGAGGACCTCCGTGAGCAGACCCACAGTCGGCACTATGAGCTCTACCGGCGCTGCAAGTTGGAGGAAATGGGCTTCCAGGACAGCGATGGTGACAGCCAGCCCTTCAGGTGACAGCCTGAGCTTCATAGCCACAGCTACTCTTGCCGCACCGGCCTCTAACCTCCATGGTCTTATGAGCCAGGCAGAGGCTATTGGAAGCCCAGCCTCCTCTTCACCCCAGCGTCCCCCTGATTGTACTTCTCTGGCCCTGTCCCACCCGTTCTCTCCATAATCCTACCCTGAGTCTCTCTCCTTTGGGTCTCCACAGCCTACAAGAAACATACGAGGCCAAGAGGAAGGAGTTCCTGAGTGAGCTGCAGAGAAAGGAGGAAGAAATGAGGCAGATGTTTGTGAACAAAGTGAAGGAGACCGAGCTGGAGTTGAAGGAGAAGGAAAGGGAGGTGTGTGTGCCAGGATGGGGCAGTGGTGAGGAAAGCGAGGGGACACTGGCTAGGCCTAGATGTGGGGGCCCAGCTCCTTCCCTCTTCATGCCAAAGTGCCTCTCCTTCCGTCCCAGCTCCAGGAGAAGTTTGAGCACCTGAAGCGGATCCACCAGGAGGAGAAGCGCAAGGTGGAGGAAAAGCGCCGGGAACTGGAGGAGGAGACGAGTGCCTTCAACTGCAGGAAGGCTGCCATGGAGGCTCTGCAGTCCCAGGCCTTGCATGCCACCTCACAGCAGCCCCTGAGGAAGGACAAGGACAAGAAGAAGTAGGTGGTGGGCTCCCCCGCTACACTGGCTTCTCTCTACCCTGTGCACTCACCCTGGGATCTGGCTTCTGCTGTTCCTGCTCATCTCTGGCTCACCTGGCCTTCTCTCTGCTTCATCCTTGTCTTGTTCTCCCTCATGTTCACTTGTTCTGCCACCTCTTCTTGCTCATGGTTCTTATTCTTGTTTCTGCACTAGTGCTCTCGATGCACCATAATCTGCATCTCTCTCTCATGGCCTGTGCTCTCTTGCATAGTGATCTTGCCCTCTCCTTTCCTGGCTCTGCCTTTCTTTTTATCACCCTTCCCCCTCACTCTTCTGCTCACTCGTTTCTTTTCCTGCAGCGCCCACAGCAGCTGGGGCCTGCTTGCTGCACATGGGGAAGGCTGACCCCCCAGCCCTGGGTGGAGCTGCTGGGGTCTTAGGGAAGTCTCTGGGGCCAGGAGAGGAACCAGGCCTAGTACTGTCAGCATTTCTAGCCAGATTCCAAAACTTCCCGTGGTTTCTGCTTAGACAGCCATAGCTGTCCATCCTCGGCCTCTGAGATGGTGGGTGTGGGACCCATATTGGCTGCAGATGGTAACCAAGAGCAGCCGGACTCAAGGCCAGCTAGCACTGACCTGGACACTGTGATTACTACTCAGCTGTTTTGAAGGGCATGTGGGGTTGAAAGGATAGCAGCTCTCTACAGGACTCTGGTTTTGCCAGGTAACTGGGCTGCCCCTCCAGGAGAGGTTAGAGCTGTTCATATAGAGTAGGGAAGGAAGAGAAAAGGATGCCAAATTTTTGCCAATCCACAAGTGCTGTCAATTTATCAGCTAACTGGGGCAATTCTGAGTCACTTCTTGGCTTTTTGTTTGTTGTCTTTTGTTTTGTTTTTTGAGGTATTAGAGATCAAACCCAGGGCCTCACACATATTATGCCAGTGCTTTACCACTTTGTTATACCCCTAGCTCTCCTTGATATTTTTCATGTCCTATTTATACACCCTTAACTTCAGTCCAGATGCCCTGGCTCTCCCTCACCTACCCTACTTCATTCAGAGTCCCATGCCATGCGACACTGTGGAGCTCTTATCTGTCCTTACATCTCCCTTTCCCCAGCCTGGATCTGGTACCATTATTTTCTTACCATCTCAGGAAATAAGCAAGTTTAACCATCTTGGACTTCATTCTGGGGGGCGGTGGGTGAAGTCTTTGGCACCCAAGTTACTTTGCCCTTCTCTCTGACAGCTTGGCCCAGGTCATCTTGTTAAAGAAAAAGTAGGCATGATCCCCTAGGAAACATGCTGTGGAGAAACCACAGACATTGAAGACAAGGACCAGTTCAGGCCTGAGGGTCAGTGGGGGTGGGGTGCAGACTGGCTGCAGGGGACCAGCAGAGCTCTCAGTGGGGGCTTGTCCCTGGTGTCTGGTCTCCGTGGTACATTGTTGTCCAGGCAGAAGCCTGGAAGACAGGCTCTTCCTGTCTGCTGGATATGCCAGAAAGTTTCAGTCGGTTTGGCCCTGGGAGAGAGAACTCCTCCCGTGTTGGCCTAAAGAGGCTGGAGTGGGTGGGCTGGGTGGCTGGGGGCATGTTTTCCTCTTGCCCTGGTCAAGGGGATAGGGTGGGTTGGGAGTGCATTTTACGGGTGGGTATTTTTCATGACCATTTAGTTGAACAGCTTTGATTGGTTGTACTTATTCTTCAGATTTTAATCCGTTTTTGCAAAAATTACTTCCCAATCAGATCTTGACCCTCAGCCTGGAACGTCACAAACTGAAGCGAATTCTCTGCTTTGCCCGTCACAAATGCCAAACTGACTGCCCTTTCCCAGTGTCCATCTTGCTGTCTTTTGCTTCTGTTTGATTTGGTCTGTGTATCTTTTAATATGTCTGTTTTTGTTTTGTTTGTTTTATTTTTATTTTTCAGTTAACGCACGCACAGACTTACATGTCAAGAGCGGACTTTAGACTTTCATGTGTTAAGTTGCTTGAGTTACACCTTGTGACCCTTCTCCCATAACATGGTGTGAGGACGGACTGGGAGCCGGTACAGACTCCAGTGTTTACAGCCTTGCTTTGCCCCTACCCCAATCTGGCTCCAGGCTGCCCCTGGGCCTGGCCTGTCACCCCTCTCTATGCAAATACCTAAAAGCCATGAATGCTGGAATCCAAAACTGATGAGGTTTATTTTTTTCAGAGCCAGTGGCTGGTCTTCCATTTACAGTGTCACTATTCCTTGATGGAGCAGTTATGTGCCGCTCTAGTGAAGGCCCCTGCCGGCGATGCTAGGCCTAACTGTTCAGCGTCAAGATGGCAGCTCACGTGGTGCCTAGGTGTGGCCTGTGGTCTGGTATACATGCTGCAAAATTTGCCCAATTCCCTTTCAGTTTAATTTTTCTAACCTAGAGTTTAATTTCAATAATAACTTTGAAACACTTCTAAATTTTTATTTTGGCACCAGCGTAAAGACAAATAATATCCTCTCCCGTTATTTTCATAAGTAACACAGACTTCCTGGTTTTTTAAAAACTAAAAATATCTCTAAACCTTCTTATGTAAAAAAGTACCCCTATAATATAAAGGGAGAGGGGGTAATAAACTTCCTGTAATGACAGTGTTTGGAATTTCTTTACGGAATGAAAGTGAACATGAACGAGACCACGTCCAGCGTTTTTACTGTGAATGTAAATGGAACAGCAGCCCAAAGCCATTGTCTCTGTGCCCCCAAGGTGCTGTAACCAGGGACCAACTCCATGTGTGTGTGTGTTAAGTGTTCGACTTCAAATAAGGCTCTCAAGCCAATCCTGCGTGTTCCAAATGAGTTATTTCCAGTGGGGAAAAAGCTATTGCCCCAAACTCATTGTTTCTTTTTTCCTGGCTGAGTCACAGGACAGAATGAAGGTCTCTGGTGTATTTAGGACAATTTGAGAACAAATTAGCAGTCAAGGAGCCTTCCCCACTTCAGCTGCATTCTACAGCAGAACATTTTCTAAAGTTCGGGCAGCACTGATTCTTCTTGGCTTCTGATGGTTTGCACCACCAGGATATATGAATGTTAAAAATCATGGCCGGGAAAATCGGTTGGTGAAAAAATGAGGAGATGAGAGGAAGACTAGCCTCAAGGTTGCTGCAGCACTGTGCAGCCTGGTGCCACCTGGAGGAAAGCCCAGCCCTCTCCTCAAGGCACTCCCTCACCAGAAGTCTTAGGAAGCTGTGTTGATTTATTGCTGGGCTGGCAGTTTTTCATGCCCCCATCTTCCATCACTCTTTCCCCCTTTCTACCTGGCCCTGGCCTGCTTGATTGATTTCCAGGACCAAGTTGGGGATTCCTCCTGCCCTTGTAAAATGATGTTCCATTCCAAGTGAGGTGGAGGTAGGGAGCTGTTGTATGTCTAACTGAGCCACAGCCAGAAAGGGGCAGTTTGTACATATGGGGGGCTCCATATGCCAAGAGTAGAGCAGGTTTTATTTATGCTGTAAATGTTATGAAAATCCTCCAAGTGTTATGCTATGACCAGGGGTGGATTCTGACTTTTTTACTGAGCTGGAAGCTTGAACTATTTAGGACGATTGGTTTAAGAAAAAGAATGTGAATGAAAAATTAGGCACAGGGCCTTGGAAGGGACCCTGAAGATTAAGCCTTATCAGCTTTGCAGTTAATCCACCTCTGGTTGTGAGTGGAAAGGGATACTTCATTCTGGGTATCTGAAAAGGTCAACTGCAGATCTAAGGCAGATGTGGATGGTGAGCGACTCCTCCTTGGGGTAATTGTATATCTGAAAGTGTATTCAGTTGGGTCAAAGCATGACCTTTAAAATATCTTCTTGAAGCTAATATATATCTGACGATGAGGTTCAGTGACCCAACAGGTTCATTGGTTATGTAAGAAATGAGGACTCCTGGCTCATGGCCAACCTGAGGCTTCTGGAAAAGGAAGATTCTGCCACCCGTCCACCACACCTGCTGGCCACACCCCAGGCATACTGGAAAGCCATACTTGTGGCCAGTTGCTTGCCCGTAGGCCCAAGACTTCCCAACATCTCTGGGGAGACCTGATAGACTTGCATTTTCTGGGGTCTGAGCTGCCCCCACAGTCATCAGCTTTAGCAAGTCTTACTGTGCTCTCCTGCTCCTGATTGTGTTTGGGATTTTGTCATCTTTAGCTGAGACCAAATGAATCCTTGGTATACAAGGTGAGCATAATGCATGATTATTTAATCTACCCCTCATGTAATATGGCCTCCATGTGCAGATCTGATTTTCCCCTCTTTTTTATTTTTTGTTATTATTCGTTGGTATTACTAGGGATGTCATATAGGATCATGTTGGCATTTACTGTTATGTCTCCTGAACTATTGGTTTGGGGTAGAATCACCATAAAATTTATTGTCCAAACTAGGACTTTTGAAAGAGAAAGGGGATGCTGTCAATAATTAAGCCAGGTCAACATCCATAAACCAGAACCATCCCAGGCAAACCAGAATGTGTGGTATCCCTCATCAGCATAGGAGGCTTGTAATTGTTCAGATTGATTGCATTTATGTTTTTATTTGTCCATGTGTGGGTTCCCTGTTTGGCGGGGTTTTTTTTTTGTTTGTTTGTTTATTTTGTTTTGTTTTGTTTTGTTTACTAGATAAGAGGCCTGAGGGAAGTGTGGCTTGCTAGTCTGTTATGTTAACATGCTTTTCTAAAACTGCTTCACTTGTTAATTCATTTACTCCATTCATTGACTGTTTTTGTTCCTTTCAGTTCACTTTGTACTTTTTTTTCCCATTAAATTTTGCATTTATTTGAGTTTTTATGGTGTCTTTTTTGGACAGAATTTTTGATTTAACAAGTTTCCTGAGCCTATTAATACGCTACAGTGGTGTTAAGATACAGCTTGTCTTTTCTGTGAACTTCATGAGAGTTACTTCTGCAGAAGTTATGTTTCAGTAGTGAATCCTGCTATTGACATCTCTGAAGGGCTTTTGTATGGTGCGGGGTGGAGGAAAGAATTGCAAGAAAAAGAAAATGAAGTCTGTGGCATGAATATTTATTGGGCAACTGGGTTAAGGAAATGAGACTGAAACTCCCTCAAGGAGTTTATAAGGAGCCTTGACCCGGGACAACTAACATTTGTGTGCTCTCAACTGCATTACATGCATTAACTCCTCTAATCTTCATCAGTTTCCTATAATTAGATACCATTATTCTCCATATTCCACAGGTGAGGCACCTAAGGTCACAAAGCAAGTAATGGAAGAGTTGGGATTGGAACATTAGTTGTCTGTACCCCTAAGTCCCAAGCTGCAACCGCCTCTTGGCGTTCCAGTAGGCTCATGTAAGAAGACTGGAAATGTGGTCATTGTTAGGGTATATAGTTTGACAGTGTGGGCTGCTGGACCTGGGAAGGTTTTGTAGAGTGGAAAGCCTTCGGATACAGGTAAATGGCTGAGAAAGAGAAAACTGTGTTTGGAGAAAATAACAAGCACATGGTTGTCCATTTGTTGAGAAGCTTTCTTTCTAGGACCTAGTCAGATCCTGAAAAGACCAAAATGAGAAAATAGGGACTGAGGTTGGGTTGTTGACAGCCCAACGGGAAGACTGGATGCTGATACCCCTGCTGAAGGTGTAGTTCAACTCTACCTAAGGGAGGCAAAGTCTTCACCAGACTTTGAAGGATAGACTCTCCAGGAAGCCAGAGGGAGCTGGGCCTCCTTGGTGGAAGGAGCAATATCATACAAACTTGACTCACCCATGTGGGGGAAGTACCATTTGAACATGTTTAAGAAAGATCCATGACACTCCCCCCACCACCACCTCCCTTAGCCCGTTGACCTTTCCCACTGCTATGGCATCTTCCTCTGGGCTTTCTCCCATCTCCATTTTCTGCAGCCTCAGTCCTTTACCAACCCCCGCCTTTCTGTATGGGTGGAGACAAAAGATGGATTGTGTCCATATTAATCCCCCTTCAGAGGATCCCTAGTGTCTGCTCCAAAGTGGAATGTGAATTCCTAATGTCAGGAGGGGAAAATGTTAGAGGGGACTAGCACAGATCTGGTACTCTGAGGCAAGGGTGACCAGCACAGACTTTTAAAAATGTACAATTGGTACTTTGGCAATGCAAGTGTTAGCTTCCTAATGAGGGTTACGTCATTTATAGAACAGCTGAACAACAAGGCGGGGATCACAGGTCTGTCTTCTTTCACTAAGATTTACATGTAGAGCCACTTGGTTACGAGGCCCAGATGCCTCCCAGCAGTTCCCCAAAGCCTGGTGTGGGTCCTCAGGATGAACTCCTGCCTCATCCACTGCAGTGCTCACTCACATTGAGGCAAGGAGGTGGAGGGCAGTGGTGGCCATGCGCTGCTCGGCATCTTCATCTGTAAAATGGGTACTGGATGTTCTGCCTCTCTGCCACCTGCCTACCAGATGTAGAACTGACCTACACCCTCATGGGAGATGTTTGCATACCAGCCTTTTTTTAGGCCTCTCAACTCCCCAACCTCAGTCCCTATTTTCTCACTTTGGTCCTTCCAGGATCTACTTGGAGGATAGTTATGAATAGGATCCAGGAGAGTGTGATCCTAGTGTATTTGACTCTAGAAGTCTGAATGCACAGTACTCCGTAAGTGCAAGATAAGATTCAAGACAGTGTTGAAAGCAATTAAAGTCTATTTTTTACAGAAGCTCCAATAGGCAAACTTGTGTCAAGAAAAGATACAGATGTGTACTGACTTTAGTGATTATAGTGTATCTGGTTCTTACCAAATTGCCCCTAGTAGTAGACCATATCCCTACCCACCATGGCTTAGCACATTCCTGAAAACAACCGTTCACAGTGGAGAGACTTCACAAACCACCTCTAAATGTGTGCCCTAGTCATTCAAATCCCCAACACTGCTTTCACAGCTCCAGCTGGCCTCTGGGCCAGCTGGGCTCTACTGCTTAGAGAATGGCCCTATAGTATCATGGCTTCAGAGAGGCAGCTGGTCTTTCTCTCAGCCACACAAGTAACATCCTCCTCTTCCTGGCAGCACAGTGGTTGGAGCAGGCTGGGCCTCAAAACCTGTCTACCCCAACAAAAGCGCTCAGAACTGCTGCCTTCCCCTCACAGGTGTCACCCAGTAATCTCCATTAATTAGCATGAAATTCCTCTACTTAGATTAAAAAACTACTTTGGTTCACAGTAACAAAGGGAAAACAGTGCTTAAAGCATTTTTGAGTTACTGTTCCTTAAATAAGGTCTACTCTAAGATCATGACTTTGTGGAGAAGACTTAAGCTAAGACCCATCAAGGTAAATGAGTCTGGAGAGACTGTCCCAGTTTTGAAGGGGCTGCATGGCAGCTGAGACTGGGACACATGGACCTGGCTGGCTCTGGCATGTAGAACAGCAAAAACTGGTCAGTCAGGATCTGGACCAGCCCCAGCCTTTCAGGCTTAAGCAGGGCCCACCCTTTGGCCTCAGCTCTCTGAGGGGCCAATATCAGCCCTTGCTGGAGAAGGAAGGAAAAACAAGTGCCGTTGAAGCATGCATTTATTACCTGCTAGGTTGGGGGGAGAAGGGAGAAGGCAAGATAGTATCTGTCAGACCACCCTTGCTACTGTTGATCATGACCCACCCTTCCCCTCTCCTGAAATTTTTCTCTTAGGGCCAGAGGATCTTTCTCAGTTACTCTTCTGGGCCTTCTTCCTGTCTTGTTACAGGATTCATAAAGCCAAAGAATTTATAAGAGTCCATGCATGGAGGGTTCCCATTAGGCTGTGAAGGAACCAGGGTCCTGGCAGAGAGGCTGGGTGGCAGGTGGAACGGAGCTGCCTATGCGGGAGGCTGATTCAAACTTCCCAGGTGCTGCTTTACAAGTTCCTTGCAGCAGCTATACTGCTCGGTACAGATGACCTGTGTTAAAACAGTGGCCAGCCTGTTTAGGCAATTGAATACCCAAGCAGGATCCAACCACTCAACCCGCCAGCATTAACCCCATTGGGTCAGCGATGTCCCTCTCCAACCTCAGTAAACTGTCAGGAGTCTAATTGCACAGCTCCATCCTGACCTATCTGTCTGCAGGGATTCTGACCCTCCAGGGCCTGGTGCCATAGATTCAGACAGATTGGGGTGGGGGTGGGGTCTGCTATTTACAATTCCCAATATTAAGCTCAAGTTTGCTTCCTTCTGAGCTGGGCATTCCCCCCCACACATACCCAATCTTCTTGGCACTAAGGATTGCCATTGAGATAAAATTTCTCATTGCCAGGGACCCACCTGCATTGATCCAGTGAAGGTGCAGGTGTTCATACTGATGTCCACAGAGTGTGGCCAAGTGTGGAATGCATAGCCCTTAGGCAGACTCTTGCCAGAGTCATGAAGGCCAGAGCATCTTCTGGAGCTCACAAGGGCCAAGAAGGGCCATGAGTACTCTTTCAGGGGCACAGTATATCTTCTAAAGGGGCAAAACTCAGAGTCAGGCTTGGGGCAAAGTTGATGTCTACCTGTGCTTTCTTTAGCAGATCAGATATAGGAGTCCACCAGTCGGGCATGAGCCTCTCCAACTCTAAGGTGATGATGACCAAAGCCAGTGTGGAGCCCTTGAACTGCAGCAGCTGGTGGCCCGCCATACAGTGCTGCAGCTGCCTGGTCAGGGACGCGACGTGGAGGGAAGGATTCCTCTGAGGCAGCAGCTCCACCACATGGGGCCGGCTCAGGACCACCAGGGAGTGGAACTGGAGACCATGGTTTTTAATGTTAGAACAGAAAACCCCATACTTTTCATATATCAATGACCAAAAGTGCAAACAATCTCCGTTTCCTTCAGGGAGCATCAAATGTGGCCCAACCCTTCTCATCCATGGCCCCATGAGGGGCTTGAGGCTTAATGCCCATTCTGTGGCCAACCTGAGCCTCAACCCTGGAGAGAAAAAAGACAGTCTGCTTTGTGACAGTCTTTGAAGGCCTAAAGTACTTAGATGACAATGTTTTGAATCTGAAAAATAGAAACATACTATTCAAGATCAAAGTAGCAGAAAAGTTACTTGTATCTGCTTGATACTAGAAGAAACTCAACTTGGCAACAGTGGTCAGTTTTCATAATGAAACATCCCTTAGTAATTTAATCTTCATGCTTCATAACAGACCAAAATCCCATGACATTGTCACATTGCATAATTTTGCCTTACTAACAGAATCATATCCTTGAAAATGATGATCATTCCCCTAACTAAAACAAACCCAAACTAATGTATGATATTTTTTTAAGTGCCAGATCAATATGGTCTAAAGCCTCAATAAGGATTGTGTGTAGGTGAATAAAGACAGCTAAGTGAATGTGTGTAAAGTGTAGCAAAAGCAGACAGATATTTATGTACAATATTCATAGAATGGAAAGTTAAATATTTTTGCAGTGTGTATTTAAAAGAGAAGTTCACCATAATAGTGCCGTTTAAAAATCTTTGTCAAGTAAACTTAATGTCCTTCAGAAATGGGAGTCTGGTGGAATGGTGTTGGATACATTTTCACTCCCGTATGTTGTGAGCCTTGTGGGTCACCTCACCGTGGTGCATGTGCAAGGACGTGTGCACGCCTGTGCTTTGCTGTCCTATGTTGTGAACAGCTGTTCCAAAGGCACAAATGAGTCTCAGGGAGACTCGGCAAACTCCTCATGCTTACTATAGTCAAGAATTCCAGCGGCGTCCCAGTGTGTAGGTCCCAGTGCAGTCTGTCCAGAATAGCCAGCTCCATCCTCAGCAGCTCATTCGGGGTGTAGCCAAAGCCATAGTGCTTTATGAAGTCTTTTATGCGTGGAATCAACTGTAAAAAGAAAATAAAGAGGCCAAAGCCCTACATTATGTCATAGTAGCTTTTGTTTTCTTATCCGTGGGGGATTGGGCATATACGACCTGAGCAGAGTTGTCTTCCAATGGCATGCCACAGAAAATGCTTCTAAAAGAAAAACCAAATCAGACCTTGGCTATCTATCAAGTCCCCAGAAGTTATGACACTGTAGTGCATGTCACATGGTCACCCTCTGCAAACAGGTCTTGATCCCCCAACTGCATGCCAGCTCAGACCCAAAGGTGCTTTGGAGACTGGGTGGGGCTGTTCCAGTTCCTGTGTTCAGCTACAAGAACTCCTCAAAGGTTTTCATGAGCCATGGGTTTGGACTGTTCTTGTTCCTGATCCCTACCATGGTTTCTTATAGAAAGTTTCTGCTTATGAGCTTCCTGGTCCACACCAGGCAGGCACATTGACAAAACCTCCTGTGGTTTTTGTACCACTACAGCTGGACACACTTCCCTTCAACCTGCATTGAAGGTGGTTTAGTTCTGGGAAAAATATGACTTTTCTTCAGAGGGACTTCTTAGTCCAGAGGAATAATAAAACTTGTCTATGAGTAAACACTGATGTATCAAGTGCATTAAAAATTTGGTCCTACTTTTTCAGGTATTTAAAATATTGCTATAACTTTCAGAAATACTTCTTTTAAGGGTTATTTACTTGATTTTTTCATTGGGCAAAAAAAAGTTCAGGGAGCATAAATTATAATAAATAAGGGTTAAAAACATTTTTATTGAAAGTTTGGAACTGGACACACAAGCCTTTTGTTCCTGCTTCCTCAGACTTTGAGATCAGCTAAAGGAGACCCTTGGAAAGGACAGCAGTTTCCCCATCCCGAAGTAGGAGGGCTCAGAAGGTGGTGGGGAGGTCTGGGAAGGGTACTGAAAGACAGTCTCCTCCAAAACAGAAAAACATGGTGAAACTAAGGTGGCCAAGCAAGCAAACTTGAAGCACTCAGCAGGGACTCTCCTTACCTCCAGCACATAGCCTTCCTGCCCCTCTCAGAAGAAGGATCCCAGAGTCCCCAAGGACTAAGTTCATTGGCATAACCAAGTCCTTAAGCATCAAGCATCTTTCTTAGACATAGTTTCTGGGAGTAGACTTTAAGCCACATGGTTTTGGAAGACTTTTTTTCCTCATTAGCAGATGCCTCTATTTAGTGGGCGTGACACATGGCATTTACCAATAATATCAGAAGTATGTGCCAGGAGGTCAGGCCTCTGGGTTTGCTGGGTCAGGAGAGTTCAGGTGTTTGTACTTCCCCATTTGTGAAGGTTGAGCCTGACAAGCCAAAAGGCAGGAGTTGGGGTGGGGGCCAGAAGAGATCCCAAGTGATTTTCCCAAAATGCTCATCATTCCCAAGGGTACAGCCTTTCAGGAAACCCATGTGCTCTAGTGTCACATCTCTATCCTTCAAATGTGGCCCAGTGCAGACTTCCAGGGATGCATACCTCCTCCTCTTCATTCATTTTTACAGCAAGTCTCAAGGAGGTAATTGTGATAATTTGGAGTAACCTCTCTTTTATCTGCAGTATGAACACATTTGAGAAGACTATGAATGCCAGAAATAAACTGCAAAGCATCTGTGGGGATATTTTCTTTAATTAAAACAAACTTTTCCCCCTACTTTTGTGATACTGGAGATTGAACCCAGGGGCACTCTACCACTGAGCTAAGGCTGGCCTTAAACTTGTCATCCTCTTGCCTCAACCTCTTAAGTAGCTGGAATCACAGGCCTCTACCATCAGGCACCCAGTTGGTGTCACTTTTAAATATTACCAACAAAGATGTTTCTGATTTCAGAATCACTGGTGACTAGTCAGTAATTCCTTTGTTAGGGGATGAAAGGAGTTAGGAAATATGGTACTTTTTCAGGGATACCATCCTGTCCTGCCTCAAGCCCAGCTTGACAGGTCCAGACAAGGACTTCCTACTTCAACAGGAAGCCCTTCCCCAAATAGGTCCTCAAGTCCAATCCTGAGGATCACAGGACACCCAGACAAATGTCCATGGAGAGGTTCTAATCCCAGCTTTACCACTTGGGGCATGTGACTTAGTTTATATGCATTGGTTTATGCATATGGAGCACTCACTTCTCAGGTAGCAATAGGAAACAAAGGTTAGTTTCGTGTCCCACTATCTCTCATCATCCCTTAGAGGCCTCCCTACCTTCACTGAAACCAGGAGGCGGTTGAGGATGGTGAGAGCCAGGTTAAAAGTGGTCTGAGAGAAGTGAAAGATGTTCTCACGTTTCAGGAGCCACAACACGACTTTCTGGTAGTCATTGCAGATCTCAGCCTGATTGAAAAGGTGGGCAGGGAGGGCAGAAGTATTTCCGAGTTTGGGGCAGCCCGTGTCCACCGGTAGCACGAGCTGCCTGCTTAAGGTGAACAGAAGGGCTATGAGAAGCCCCATCACCTTAATCCCGGGATGGGATTAAGTGCCTCTCGGTGGCCCGGCGTCTCACCCATTGGTACCCCAACTCCAAGGGCACCTGCTTTTCGTTCTAATTCCCCAAATGCAATAGGGCCGGTTAGGAGGCAACTATTAACAAAATTCCTTCCTGGTGCGGGAAGTCAGGGAATCCCGCCTAGTGCCTCGCATGGAGACGCACCTGAAGGGCCGGGCCTCCTGAGTTTTAGACACCTGATTGCGGATGGAGCGGATCCGCCAGTGAGAAGGGCCCCGCCAGTGAGAAGGGCCCCGCCCCGAGAACCTGTACCTGGAGGTTGCCGCCCCGCCACAGACGTTCTTCGCGAAGCTGGGCCAGATGCAGGTGAACGAGCAGCCTGCGCTCGTCCAACAGGCCACTCCAGTCGGAGGGCACACCATGATCGCGCTGGGAGGACTGCTGTGTGGGTGGCGGGGACTCGGCCGGAGCGGTAGCAGGGACCCCGCCTGCGGCTTGCTGAGCTACCGCTGCCGGGTGCTGGGACAGCAGGGGTCCGCTCGCCGACGGCGCGGAGAAGGACGCCTCCCCAGGCTTAAGGGTCGCCTGCAACTCGCTGGAGGTCGGCGGCGCGGCAGGAGAGGCTTTGCTAGAAGAAGGCGGGAGAAGGCTAAATCCCCCAGAGCTCTGCAAGGCGCTTTCCTCCGAGGCCGACCGCTCCGGTGGGAGCCTCGCGTCTGAGGCCATGGCGTGGGAAGGATCCTAGGTCTGAGTCGTGGCTTAACCCGGTTTTTTATAGCCCAGTGCAAGGGACTCTGCAGCCGGAGCTCCGGGGTAGGGGCGGGCTCGGCGGGCCCCACCCCCAGCCCTCGCAGGGGAGGCGCAGGGTCTTGGCACTAGCCCGGGGGGATGGGCGGCGCACACCCGGCACTACTAGACAGACCTCACTCAGGTAAGTGAAAGATCCCCATCTTTCCTTCCCATCTCCACTTACACCTTCTGTACGCTTCTTCCCCACTTGTGGCCTGAGCCTCATGCAGTCTTCAGCCCTCCGTGTGGTGGCTAGTGACCAAGCCGACCCTGAACATTCGTGTCCGAGCACACATCCTGTGTCTTATCTCATAGTACAGATTTGGGGATACAGGTAGAGAAGCATCAGGAGCTCAGCTCCTCAATAAGACAGGTTTGCTATGGAATTTCCAACCTGCAGTGTGTGTCTGACCTCTCGGAGTCTCCTTCTCTAAAAAAGTGATGATACCTCCCTCAAAAGTATCATCCATGCATGCATTTATCTTTTCAGTAGTTATTTATAGAAGGACTGCTATATGTTAGGTGCCAGAACATAACAGTGAACAAAATGTGCATGATACTTACATTCCAGTTAGGAGAGAGAGACAAAAAACAAAAGTAGAATATATGGAGATAAACCAGGCACGGTGGCTCACACCTGTAATCCCAGCGGCTCTGGAGGCTAGAGCAGGAAGTTCAAAGCCAGCCTCAGCAAATTATGGAGGTCCTAAGCAGTTCAGTGAGACCCTGTGTCTAACTAAAATACAAAAAATGGCTGGGGATGTGGCTCAGTGGTTAAGTGCCCCTGATTTCAATCCCAGGTGTCAAAATACACACACACACACACACACACACACACACACACAAATACCAGCAATTCTCCTCTTGGGTATAGGCCCAACAGAAATGTTCATGTGTGTACCAAAAGACACATAATGCTTAGAACCACACTATTTGCTAAGGCCCAAACTCTAGCTGAAATGCTCATCAGGAGCTAGAGCTAAATGAGATAGATAGGTTTTGGTATATTCACACCATGAAATATTGCATTTTGTTGAAGAATAATGAACTTCACTATGCTTAGCAAGATGGAAGAATCTTACAAACATACTGAGTGTAAGGGAACAGAAACACTGTATGACTGGTTTATATGAGATTTTGTTTAAGAGATGGGGTCTTGCTACATTGCCCAGGGTTGACCCCCAAACTCCTGGGCTCAAATGAACCTCCTGGCTCAGCCTCCCTAGTATCTGAGATGACAGCTACCTTCCATTGTATCCGGCCTTACAAGAAAAACTCATTACATTGTTTAAGTGGAGAAAGTGGTTACCTTTGGAGATGAATGCAATATGACTGGAAGGGGACACAAGGAGCTCATGGGGGGCTGGTAATGCTCTATTTCTTTATCTGGATGCTGATCACATAGGTATGTTTACCTTGTGAAAACAGATCAAGGTCTATACTTGTGATTTATACATTTTCTTATGCAAGTTACATGCTGTTAAAATTTAATCCCATTAAATGTATGAGATTATTAAAATATGTGGGAATACTAAAGGAGAAAAAAGAAGAACAGAAGATATATTTAAAGTAATGATGAGTGAGAATTTTCCCCAAAATAATGTCAGATGCCAAACCACAAATCTATGAAACTCACAGAACACCAAGCTGGATGAATGCAAAAAAAAAAAAAAAAAAAAGTATCTAGGTGTTCACATTAAATTTGTAGAAAATCAAATATAAGGAAAAAAAAATTGAAATAAGCCAGGGGCAGGGAGCCCTTATCTATAGAGGAGCAAGGATATGAATCATATTAGAATTGTCTTCAGAAATCATGCAAGCCAGATAGTGGAATGAAATATTTGAAGTGTTGATAGGAAAAAACCCCACCAACCTAGAGTTCTTGTATTCACTGAAATTAGCCTTAAAAAGTGAAATGCAATAAAGACTTTCTCAGACAAATAAAGTTGAGGGAATTTGTCACAAGTAGACCTGTCCTGAAAAAAAAAAATGTTAAAAGAATTTTTTTCAGGGGCGGGGTTGTGGCTTAGTGGTAGAGTGCTCGCCTAGCATGCATGAGGCACTGGGTTCAATCTTCAGCACCACATAAAATAGAAAATAAAGATATTGTGTCCACCTAAAAACTAAAAAAATAAATATTAAAAAATATATTTAAAAAGATTTTCTTTCAGAGAAAAAGGAAAATCATATAGACCATAGACTCAAATCTACATAAAGGAAGAAAGAACATTAAGGAATACACGAAGGTAAAATAAACTTTTTGTTGTTAACTAATCTAATAATTTATTGAAATTAAAGCTTATAGGCTATATAGTTATAGGTTATGGGTAAGCAAAATAAGTGGCAACAATAATACAGGCATGTAAGGGAAGAATTAAGAATACTTTGTGGGACTGGAGTTGTGGCTCAGTGGTAGAGTGCTTGCCTGGTATGTGTGAAGCACTGGCCTCAAGCCTCAGCACCACATAAAAATAAATAAAATAAAAGTCCATTGACAACTAAAAAATATTTTCAAAAAAGAATACTTTGTAATAAGGTACTCACACTATCTGTAAAACAGTAAAATGTTAGTCAGAAGTAGATTAATTTTAAATGCATTAGTTTTTAATTTTTTTTAGTTGTAGATGGACACAATACCTTTATTTTATTTATTTTTATGTGGTGCTAAGGATTGAACCCAGTGCCTCACACATGTCAGGCCAGTGCTCTACCACTGAGCCACAACTCCAGCCCTAAATGCATTAGTTTTAAATATACATTGAAAAGTCTAAGGTAACCACTAGACAATTTTTGAAATATGTAAATAACATGCTAAGAAAGGATAGAAATGGCACCATAAAATACTAGTAACACCAGATAGTCACCTGAATCCACAGAAAAATGAAGAGAAATAAAAATAGTAAATAAGAAGGTTAATGTAACAAACTATAATTTAAGCTTAGCTCTCCTCTCAGCTTCTTTAGACCATTTAAAAGATATATCACTGAAGTATAAATTTAAAAGATATATCACTGAAGTTGTTCATGATAAATACTATATATGTATGTATATGTGTGTATATATATATATATATACACACACATATACATATATATATATAAAACTCTAGAGCAACCACTAATAAAAGTAACTAAAAATACAGTAAAATAACCATGGAAAAATTCAAAGGTTAAACTAGACAATATTAACTAAATGAAAAACGAATAGCAGAGCAAAAAAGACATGACATTACAGAAAACAAAAAGCAAAATAGAAGACTTAAATTGAATAGTATTAATAATAATATTAACTGTAAGTGGATTAAACAGTTGTATTAGTCTATAGGGATTGTATTATTAACTGGAAGTTTATGTCCCTTTAAAATTCATAAAATTAAACCCTAATCTCCAATTTTATAGTATATGGACATGAGGCTTCAGAGAGGTAATTAGAGTTTGATGAGGTCATAAGGGTAGAGCTGTCATGGTAAGATTGGTGCCCTTCTAAAAAGAACCTGCTCCATACCCTCAGATTATTCTATGAGGCCAGGATCACCCTGATACTATAACCAGTGAATAAAAGATTCTTCTAAAAACAAAAACTACAAGCTTGGTTTAATATCCCAAAATATGTGCGTGCGCGCGCACGTGCGCACATACATGCACACATGTACACCTATCTGATAAAGGACAACTGAGATACACAAGCATCACAATAGAGCCAGAAAAAGCATTTGACAAATCCAATACTGTTTCATAATAAAACACACTCCACAAATTAGGAACTTCTCTAACTTGATAAAAAGCATCTACGAAAAACCTACTGCTAACATCATGCCTAACAGTGACCAAATGCTTCCCAACTAAGATCAGGAAAAAGACAAGGATGTCTATTCTCATTACTTCTGTTTAACATTGTATAGGAGGCAATTAGATCATAAAAAGAAAGAAAAGGTTTGGATCCATACTAAACAGAAAGAAGTAAAACAAACACTACTTTTGGATTATGATTTTGTACATAGAAAAGGATAGAATACACACACAAACTACTATTAGAAGAATAAAGAAGGTGGGAAAGTTGCAAAGCATAAGATCAATATATTTAAAAAGTCAGTTTGAGCCAGGTGTAGTATACGCCTGTGATCCCAGTGGCTCAGGAAGCTAAGGCAAGAGGAACACAAGTTCAAAGACAGCCTCAGCAATTTAATGAGATCCTAAGCAATTTAGCAAGATCCTGTTTGAAAAAAAAGGGGTGGGGGCTGGGTATGTTGCTCAGTGTTTAAGCACCTTGGGTTCAACCCCTGGTACCAAAAGAATAAAAAAAAGTCAATTTGATTTCTGTACATTACCAGAGAATAATCTGAAAATGAAATTTTTAAAAATTCCATTTACAACAGCATAAAAATAAATAAAATATTTAGAAGTAAATGTAATAAAAATGCAAATTCTGTACATTGAAAACTAGAAAACATTGCTAAAATTAAGTGGAACATTATATATATTTTTTCCATAACTAAAGGGAAAGACACTCTGTGTTCATGCATTGGAAGACTTAAATTGTTTTAGGCGAAACTTCTTGATATATGGATTCAACAGAATCACTGTTCAATTTTCAGTTGCCTATTTGCAGAAATTGACAAATGTGTTCCTAAAATTCCTTTGGAGATGCAAGGTGAATCCCTGAATCAAATGGCCAAAACAATCTTGAAAAAGAAGAGCAAAGTTGGAGACTCACACTGTGTGATTTAAAATCTTAGCTACATTCCTCTAGACAGTGTGGTACTGGCATTTGGACAGATGTATAGGTCAGTGAACTAGATCCAAGAGTTTAGGAATGATTAATTGGTTTTCAACAGAAGTGCCAGTTCAGTAGGGAAAAGAATATTCTTTTCAGCAAACTGTGCTGGGATAGCTGGAAGAGAACCATGCAGAAGAATGAAGTTAGAACCCCATGTCTATCAATATACAACAGTAAGTTGAGGGCTGGGGCTGTAGCTCAATAGTAAAGCACTTGCCTAGCATGTACAAGCCTATGAATTTGATTCCCCAGTGCCACAAACAAAATGAAACAAACAAACAAAAAACTACTTTGAGATAGATCATAGACCTGAATATAAGAGCTAAAAATGGAAAACCCAGAGGAGAGAAAATCTTCACAAGCTTGGGTTAGGGAATGGGTTCTTAAATTTGCAACAAAATCACAAGGACAAAAGAAAATATATAGAAATTGAACTTGATCAAAATTGAAAACTTTTGCACCTCAAAGGACATCATCGTAAAGTAAAACGACAACCCACAGAATGGGGAAAATATTTGTATATCATATATCGGAAAAGAGATTTGCACTCAGAATATATATAAAGAATTCAATGAAAAGACAAATAAAATGGGTAAAGGATTTGAACAGATATTTTTCCAAAAACGTTTTATAAATGGTCAATAAATACATGAAAAAATGCTGAACACCATTAGTCACCTGGGAAATGAAAAATTTAAAACCAAAATGAGATACTATTTTACACAGTGTTGGTAAGTGTATAGAGAATTGAAAACCTGATACATTGCTGATGGGAATTTAAAATGGTGCAACTACTGTAGAAAACAACTTGGAAGTTCTTCAAAATGTTATAAACATTAAAGTTATGAAATGATGCAAAAATTCTAGGTATACATACCCGAGGGAAATAAAAACATATGTTCAAGTGCTGGGAATGTAGTTCAGTGGTGGAGAACTCATTTAGCATGTATAGAGTGCTGGGTTTGATCTCCAGTGCCTGAAAACAAAATGAAGTTGGCATGTATAACCAGTATATATAAAATATCAGATGATGATAAGTAATATGGAGAACTATACAGTCGAGAGGGGAAATAAGAAAAACTGGGGCTAAATTTTGAAATTTTAAATAGGGTGGTCGTGTTAGGGCTCACTGAGAAGGTATCTTGTGAACAAAATCTTTCTAAAGGAGGTGAGGGAGCAAGCAAGTGAGGTATCAAGGAGAAGAGCTTCTGGGCTGCTTAAGTTTGAAGCTGGACTTCATCATGGCCCACATGTGTGACCTTGGAAAAGTTATTTATTGGCCTTGTGCCTCACTTTCTTTATTTGTAAAATAAAGATAATAAATACTACCTATTTTGAAAGATTATTGTGTGGCTTAAGTGATTAAAAAAGAAAATAAAGCACTTCGAACATTACACTGGCAGTAAGAAAATGCTTTATAGTTATTTTCATTAGTTTCTGCTGCAAGCACACAGCCTTTGCATGCTAAGATAGAAGCATGCCTGGAATGTTTAAGGAGGCCTGGTGGGGCTGGTGAAGAAGCAAGAATAAAAATGGTAGGAGGTGGAGGGAGGGTTTGTGGTTTTTACTCTGTGAGATGAGAAATCAATGGAGGATTTGGGGGAGAGAAAAGATCTGATTCATATTTCAACACCATCACTCTGGCTCCTGTGGTGAAAATATAGTCATCCCTCTGTATCTGTGGGTGATTGGTTCTGTATAAAAATCTTTGGATGTTTGAGTCTCATATAAAATAACATAGTATTTGCATATAGCCTACATACCCATATACTTTAAATCATCTCTAGATACCTAGTCCAAAGCAAATGCTATGTAAAGAATTGTTATACTATACTTTTTAGGGAATAATGACAGAAAATGTTTGTATATGTTCAGTATAGATGCGAATTTTTTTTTCCCAAATGCTTTTGATTTGCTGGTGGTTGAATCAACGATGCAGAATCCACAAATATGGAGGCCTGACTGTATACTAAAAGAGGTCAAGGATGCAATCAAGGACATTAATTAGTTCTGAGATGTTGTAATAATGCACATGAAAGATGTTGGTGGTAAGTGGTCATATTCTGGTTCTTAAATTTGAAGATAGGTCCAGTAGACTGGATATTGGGTGTGAGAAAGAGACTGCAGTTTAATCTGAGCAATTGTCTAGTTGTTGAGATGAGTCAGAGGAGCCTTTTTTATTTTTATTTTTATTTTATTTTATCTGTTTTTTTAGGGGCTTAAGATAAAGAGTCGGGGAGGCAAGTGGAGAGGGGATGAGGATTTACATTTTTGATTGTGCTAAACTCCAAATGTTTGTTACACATCCAAGTAAACTGATGCTCAGGGGAGAGGAGAGTTTCGGACCAGAAAAAGAACAAATCATTGGTTCTTTCACAAATATTTATTGATATCCCACCCTGTGCCAAGTTTTATTGTTAGGTTCTGGAAATAAACGCAGGAATACTGACTCTTGTAAGTTCACCTCCTAATGGTAAAACAGATCATAAACAAGTTAGCAATCAAGCGAGGTAACGTATGTAAGGTCTTCAGCTCTCCAGATGGGACAATGTACAAATGCTACTGTTGTTTTCAATATTCGGGATATTATAAGTCTCAGAAGATAAATGAGCCATGCGACCTAGGAGCGCCTCCTTCTCCCAGCGGGGACCTGCCAGGTATCCTTCCTTAGGGCTAACCGATTCTTTAGCGCAGGGGATTGTCACCATTGCGCAGGCGCGGCCTCAGTCTGGCGTCCTAGGAGATGGACTTGAAACGCCTCCGCGCATGCGTAGTTCAAGAGGCCGAGGGAGCCCGAAACCTGGGATTGGGCGGGGCGAACTTGGAGTGCGCTTGCGCACTGCAGACTCTAGTCGAAGAAGCCGCAGTCTCGAGAGCGCCCAGGAGGTGTTTCAGTAGACTCTGGCCAGCCTCTCCTGTGGACCCGGTGTCGTTGGGCTACACCCCGGTTGGGGACGTCTCCCGGGCACGGGAGTGGGCCACGATGCCGGTGAGGAGAGCCACTCAGCCGCTAGGGTTCCTTATCCCAGCGGCCTGGCTCGGGGGCGCGGCCGTTGCCATAGAAGCGCGGAGCAGGCGGGAGGCCCGGGTGGGGCGGGGCAGGGCCGGACCCCGTGGGTCTCGGCCGTTAAGGGAACTGGTAGATGGGCCCAGGGCCCGTGGGGGTCCAGCCCTCTTGTGGAAGCACTCGGGAGCAGGCCCTGTTGCCTTTGTCCTTGCTGCATCCCATGGGGCCTGCGCTGTTTGACATAAAGGCACTGTGCCAGAGGATGCGTCCTGGCTCCCAGCCCGGCCCGCTGGGTAGGGCGTTTGGGGGCGGCCACCGAGGGTCGTTCGTGCGCTCCGCGCCAGGTGGGGTCTGCGCAGCGGAGGCACGCCCCGGAAAGTGGCCGGGCGAAGGTTGCCAATCGCTGTTTTAGGGCCCTGACTTGCGTTTTCCCAGGTTTGAGCTGTCATTCCTCTTGTGGCGCTGTAGTTACCGTGCAGAATGTAACCTGTAGGTGTCTTTGTGTGTGTATGTGGTGGATATACATAGTTACCGTTCTCTTAATAAGGTTTTTTGTTTTTTTTTTTTTTAAGTCCAATAAAGGGTCATGGAGAAAACTTGAGCCTTGGAGAATTATTTATTGGTTATGCGGCCTCGGGTAATTATTTAATCTGTCTGGGTTCTTAGTTGCTGCCTAATGAAACTTTTCTTCATGGGGTTTTTATTAGGGCGAAATAAGATAATACACAGGAGACGAAGGACAGTTTTGACATTTAGCATTCATTACTCTATATCTTTTTTTATTGTTTTCAAGTTATTAATTCAGTCAATGCTGGGCATCAACCACATGTTAAGCACTTAAGATACAGTATTGAGCAAAACCAGACACATTTTTGAATTTGGAAAAAAAAAAAGACTTGCTTTCTTAGGTAGAGGTGAAAATCATACACATTTACAGAGATAATACACATTCTTAAAGCATGAAGTGAGTGGGTGGCATAAAGTAGAAACTAGTGTATACTAGTGATTGGAAAGTGTTACCATGTAGGAATGCTAGCCTACGTTGATATCAAATCATGTATTTTTTATTAGAGATGGATCAACTGTTTTTTAAGAGACTTTAGAAATTGTGTGCTTGTGAAATTTTACCAACTAATATTTTAAAGTACTGTGAGATAAAAGATATTTATGGGCTGAATTCAGTCCCTTGACTATTCATTTGCATTTCTGATGTAGACAGAGGGAAAGACATTAATCAAATAAGGAAGGGAGTAAAATTTTGTCCTTGGAAAAGAGAGCAGGGTGCTCTGAGAGCCTATAAAAGCATTTGACCTAATTAAAGAAGTGTTCCCAGATTAAGTGGCTATTGAGTTGAGTTCTGAAAGATAAGTAGATGTTATCTAAATGAAGAGGGGGGTAAGGAATGTTCTAGGCAGAAGGAATACCACAAGGAAAAGCCAGTGGTAAAGGAGAAGCATGATGATTAGAAAAGACCATAAAACCCAGGGTGGATGTAGTTGAGAGCAGGTGAAGTATCTTGTGAAATAAGCCTGCAGAAGAAGTAGACATGGGCAACAGACAGATCTTACAGACCACCTTAAAAATTTTTATTTTTATCCTAAGATCTATGAGAAACTATTGAAGAATTTAAAGTAGAGGAGTCAACATGATTAGATCTGTGTTGATACTGACTTCCAGGAGTACAGACTGTAGGACAATCTAATTTGACATCCTACAGGAGTAAAGGGCCTACATGATGGGGACCTAGATTGTGGTAATGAAGGTAGAGATGGAGAGAAATGTGTTGTATTGGTATTATCTGTTAACTTGTCAATGACAATTTCAAAGTCAATGGCTTACATGTTTCTTTTAATGTTTATAAGAGTATCAAAAACAGGAATTTGATAAGTATATGTTCAATGGAAATGTTAAGCTTCATTTCAGTAATAGAATTGTATTTTGATTTATAAAATTTCAAAAATTGAAACTTTGTATATACAATTTTCATGAGTTTAGGTCATTCTAAGACATGTTTCTCTGTCTGCTATTGTACTTTTTTTTTTCACTCTTTCTGTTGTCTTATATAGAGAAGATAAACCATGCATGGAGCTATATTTTAAAAGTAATTTTACTAATGTGTTATAGAAAATAAAACTAGATGTGTCAGGGGAACTAAGGACTGACTATATTCTTTTTTAAAATTTTTTTTAGTTGTAGATGGACACAATATCTTTATTTTATTTATTAATTTGTATGTGATAATGAGGATGGAACCCAGTGCCTCATGCGTATGAGGCAAGTGCTCTACCACTGAGCCACAACCCCAGGCCTGCCCCCCGCCCCCACATCTTGAATTAAATTTATTAACCATGCTCACTTGTGTTTTCTTATAAGCAGGAAACTCAGAATGTCAGGGACTTTTTGTTTGTTTGTTTGTTACTGGGGATTGAACTCAGGGGCACTCAACCACTGAGCCACATCCCCAGCCCTATTTTGTATTTTATTTAGAGATAGGGTCACTCTGAATTGCTTAGTGCCTCACAATTGCTGAGGCTGACTTTGAATTCAAGATTCTCCTGTCTCAGCCTCCCAAGCTGCTGGGATTATAGGCAAGTGCCGCTGCTCCCGGCTGTCAGGGACTTTGTGCAGAAAGACAGTCAATAATATACTAGTTCATTTTCTGCACTTACTATAGAAGTAAATTAGTTTTTCTATCCCATCTTTTGCATTGTAAATAAAATATTTTTAAAATTTATTTATTTTGGTACTGAGTATTAAAGCTAGAGGCATGTTACAACTGAGCAATGTCCCCAGCCCTTTTTATTTTTTATTTTGAATAGGTCTCACTAAGTTGCTTAGGGCCCCCATAAATTGCAGAGGTGTGTCTTGGAATCGCAATCCTCTTGCCTCAGCCTCCCAAGTTGCTTGGATTGCAGGTGTATACCACCAGGCTAGTTTAATATCTTAAAAAAAAATTTAAAATAGTAAAGATGGACACAATACCTTTATTTTATTTTTATGTGGTACTGAGGATCAAACCCAGTGTTTCAAACATGCTAGGCAAGCACTCTACCAACAGCCCAGCCCCATAGCTTAATATTTTTTTTTGAAGTCTTTTTTTAGTTGTGGATGCACACAATGCTTTTATTTTTACATGGTGCTGAGGATTGAACCCAGTGCCTCATGAGTGCCAGGCAAATGTTCTAACACTGAGCTACAATCCCAGCCCCACTTAATATCTTTAAAAAAATTATATATATATATATATATATATATATATATATATATATATATATATATAATTTATTTATTAGTTGTAGTTGGACACAATACCTTTATTTTATTTATTTATTGTTTTAATGTGGTTCTGAGGATTGAACCCAGGGCACCGCATGTGTCACTGAGCCACAACCCCAGCCCCTTAATATCTTTTTAATAAGCTTTTGCTGTATATATATATGAGATCTTTAATTGCATTTAATGAAGACTTATGAAGTCCTAACATATGCAGAACACTGAGATGGCAACACAGTCCTTTTTAAGTTATAAATTTAATAGGTTGATGGCAAAAGCAAATGTTCTTTTCATTATTTGTAAATATTGTCTCCACAGATCAATAAATCAGAGAAGCCGGAAAGCTGCGATAATGTGAAGGTTGTTGTTAGGTGCCGTCCCCTCAATGAGAGAGAAAAATCCATGTGTTACAAACAGGCTGTCAGTGTGGATGAGATGAGGGGAACTATCACTGTACATAAGACTGATTCTTCCAATGAACCTCCAAAAACATTTACTTTTGATACTGTTTTTGGACCAGAGAGTAAACAACTTGATGTTTATAACTTAACTGCAAGACCTATTATTGATTCTGTTCTTGAAGGCTACAATGGTAAGTGAATATATAGTTTATTTTTAAAAAACTTTATTAAGGCATAATTAATGTCCCATAAAGTTATCTCTTGTAATAGTACAGTTAGATGAGTTGTAGTAAATATATACAGTTGTGAAACCATCACTATAATACAGTTTTAGAGCACTTCCATCATCCACCAAAATTATTTTGTGCCATTTTGCAGTTCCACCCCCAGGCAACCATTGGTCTGCTTCTGTCGCTATAATCTTTACCTTTTCTCAAAATTTCACATAAATGAAATGTCATCTTTTTAATCTTTTTTCTTTTACTTGGCATAATGTTTTGAAGTTCACCCATGTTTTGCATATACCAGTAGTTTGTAGCCTTTTATTACTGAATTGCCTTCCAGTGTATGAATACAACAATTTTGTTTATGCATCTAGATGTTTGGCTATGATAAATAACACAGCTGTGAACATTCATTTATACATCTATGCACAAACATATTTCAAAGTTTCTCTAACATACAGTTTTCAAAATTCTCCCATGTCATAAGAATGTATCAGTATTTTATTCCTTTTTATGGCCAAATATTCTCTTATATGTTATATAGATTTGTTAATCCATTCTTTTGGATTAACATTTGGATTGTTTGTACTTTTTAACTATTATGAATAATGTTGCTTTGAACATTCTTATGCAACTTTTGGTGTGAATATACGCTTTTAATTCTCTTGAATATATAAGGAGGAGTGGAATTACTGAGTCATGTGGCAACTCTGTTTAACATTTTGAGTAACTGTCAAACTTTTCCAGAGTGGCTGCATCATTTTATATTCCCACCAACAATGTGTGAGGTTTTCAACTGCTCCACATCCTTGTCAACAATTTTACTTGTCTTTTTGATAGTGTCATTCCAAGGGGCATAAGGTGGTATTTCATTAGGATTTGCAATAGATTTTTTTTATATTGACCTTGTATCTTGCAACCTTGCTAAAATTGCTCTTTAATTCTAGTAGATTTTTTGTTTTGCTTTTTTCTTTTTGCAGTGCTGGTGATGGAACCAGTACCTTGCATATGCTAGGCAAGTGCTCTACCACTGGGCTACACTACTAGCCACTATATTTTGTTGCTGCTTTTTTTTTAATTCTGTAGGATTTTTTTTGCATATAATATTATGTTGTCTGCAAATAAAGGTGTTTTTTTATTTCTTTCCAATCTTAATGACTTTAATTTCTTTTTGTTGCCTGATTACACTGACTGGAACTTCCACTGAATAGAAATGGTGAGAGTGGACATTTTGTTTAGTTGATGATCTTAAGGAAAATGCATTCTTCTTTGGTTTTTTGTTCTTTTTAGGTATACATGATGAGTGTTTTTTTACCTAATACATGGAGTGTAGCTTATTCTAATTAGGATCCCATTCTTGTGGTTGTACATGATGTGGAGTTTTACTGGTTATGTATTCATATAACATTTATTTTTTCACTAATAAATGTGATATTACATATAGATTTTTAAAATAAATATCCTTTATCAGATTGAGGTAGGTCTCCCTTGTTCTTAGTTTGCTGATTTTTTTTTTTTTTTTTTTAAGGAAAGTATATTGAATTTTTTCAAATGTGGAAACTTTAAAAAAGTTTTCCAGTACTGGGTATTGAACTCAGGAATGCTCTACCACTGAGCTAATAACCCCAGCCCTTTTTATATTTTTAAATATTTATTTAAATACTGGGGATTGAGCCCAGGGGCACTTTACCACGGAGCCTCATCCTCTGCCTCTGCCCTCCACCCTCTTTTTTGAAACAGGTCTAAGTTTCCAAGACTGGTCTTGAATTTAGCAGTCCTCCTGTCTTAGCTTCTTGAACAGCTGGGATTACAAGTGTGCACCACTATATCCTACTCTGTGCAACTAATGAAATAATCTTTTTTTCTGTGTGTTGATGTGGTCAATTACATTACTAGTTTTTCAGTGTGAAACCAGCTTTGCCACTTGGTCAGGAAGTAATACCCTTTTCAAATATTGTTAGATTTTGTTTGCCAAAATTTTGTTTAAAATGTTTGTATATGTGTTCATGAGGCATATAAGAATGTTGTTTTCTTGTAATGTCTTTATCTGGTTTAAATATCAGAACAATTCTAGTTTTATAGAATGAGGTAGGAAGTATTCCCTTCTTTTCAAATTTTATAAGAATTTGTCTAGAATTAGCATTATTTCTACTTTAAATATTTGATAGAATCCATCAGTGAAGCCATCTGGTCTTGGAGTTTTCTTGTGGGAAGATTTGTAAGTTTTGCCACAGATCAAGTTTCTGTAATAGATATAGGGCTTTTCTGGTTGTGCATTTTTTTATTGAGTTTTAGTGGTTTGTCTTTCATGGAATTCGTCCGTTTCATTGAAGTTAATTTATTGGCAAAAAATTGTTCATATTATTCTTTTATTATTCTTAGTATGTTAAAATATAGTGATACAACCTTTCTTATTCATGATATTGGTATATTTGTAATTTGTATCTCCTCTCTCTTTTTTTTACCGATTACACTGATAAGAGCTATATCAATTTGATTATCTTCTGAGAGAACCAGCTTTTGGTTTAATTTTTTCTATTTTCTTTCTTTCTTTTTGGTTGGCGGGGGTGGCGAGTGATACTGGTAATTGAACCACCCAATGTCTCCTCCAGTCCTCTTTCAAAAATTTTGAGATAGATCTTGTCAAATTGCCCAGGCTGTCTTTGAACTTGTGATACTTTTGCATTAGCCTCTGAAGTTGCTGGGATTATCCATGTACTCCATGGTATCTGGCTTGTTTTTATTTCATTGATTTCTGTTCTGATCTTTATTGTTTCTTTTCTCCTACTTACTTTAGGTTTAATTTGCTCTTTATTTTCTACTGTTTTTAAGGTGGAAGCTGAGATAATTGAGAACTTTCTTCCTTTCTAATATAGGAGTTCAATGGCATAAATTGTTCCCCAAGTTCTGTTTTAGTGGCATCTCACAGATTTTGTCATACTGTGTGTTTTAGTTAGCTATTCTATCACTGTGACCAAAACACCTGACATGAATAACTTAGAGGAGGAAAAGTTTATTTGAGGCTTGGGTGTCAGAGATCTCAGTCCATTCTGGGCTCAAGTGAGGCAGCATGCCTTGACAGAAGGGCTCAGTAAGCAAAGCTGCTCAGCTTATGGTGGGTCAGGAAACTGAGAGGGGCTCCAGGGAAGATGCACCCTTTCAGAACATACCCCAGTGGCTCATTTTCTCCAATCACACCCCACCTGCCTATAGTTACTACCCAATGAGTCCATTCAAACTACAATGAACAGGTCCAGTCATTTCACAATCCAGTCATTTCACCTCTGAATATTCATGCATTAACAGGAGCATATCCAAACTATAACTGTTTTCATTTTCATTCTGTTCAAAATACTTTTTTACTTCACCCCTGGATTTCCTTTTTTAATCTCTGACTTATTTAGAAATATGTTGCTTAGTTTTTATATTTTTTGAAATTTTTCAGAAAATTTTTTGTTGGTTCTAGTTTAATTTTATTTTAGTCAGAGAACATACTTTGTTTGACTTGAATCTTTTTAAATTTATTGAGACTTGTTTTATGTACTAGAATGTAATTTATTATTAGATCTTTGTGTATACTTGAAAATGCATGTACATTTTTCTGTTCTTGGATAGAGAATTCTGTAAACGTCTATTTGGTCAATTTGATAGTGCTATTCAAATCATCTGTGTACTTACTTATCTTCAATCTACTTGGTCTGTCAATTATTGACAGAGGAGTATTGAAGTTTCTGAACATATTTTCAGATTAGCCTTTTTCTATCAGTTTTTGTTTCATGTGTTTTTGGTCTGTCAATTATTGACAGAGGAGTATTGAAGTTTCTGAACATATTTTCAGATTAGCCTTTTTCTATCAGTTTTTGTTTCATGTGTTTTGAAATTCCGTGTGTACATGCATAGATGCTTAGGATTTTTAGGTTATCTTGATGAAAAAACCTCTTTATGAAATTACCTCTTCTTCTCTGGTAATATTCTTTGCTCTGGAACCTGCTTTGTCTGATATTAATATAGATACTTCAGCTTTTTTTTGATTAGTGTTAACATGCATGACTCTTTTCCATTCTTTTAATCTTTATGTGTTTTTATATTGGAAGTCCATTTCTATTAGGTAAGTGCAGTGGAGACCCTCATGATCACCCTAGATTCAGTGATTGTTCAGAGGACTCACAAGACGATCATATAGTTGTACTTATAAAAAGAAAAAAAGATTAGAAAAGGTAAAATGTGCTTGGAGCAAAATTTCCAGGAAACTAGATGCAAATTTTTAAGAGTTCTTTCCTATTGGTCACCCAGGATATACAATGTGCTTAATTTTTTTGGCTTTCAGTATGAAAATACATATAAAGTATTGTCTATCTGAGGAAGCTCATTAGAGACTCAGTGCCCATTGCTTTTACTGGGCACTGGTCACATAGGAACCGTGAGCCCAGAACATGCCAGCATCCCAGACTCTTAGCAGGAAAGCTGAGATAGGGTCTTAGTGAGACCCTATCTCAAAAAATAAATATATAAATGACATTGTTTTGTATAAACTATTTAGGCAAGATGAGGCACTCTTTTCAGCTAGGGAATGATGGAAACCCCCTAACTTCAAATTCCCAAGGGCCAGTCTTGCAAGCAGGGCTTTCAAACAGCAGCAGCCTCAGGTTGGCTTTGTTTTTTTCTGCACAACAGCATATAGTTAGTCTTGCTTTTTAAATTCAGTTTTGCTGTCTTTGTTTGTGTGTGTGTGTGTGTGTGTGTGTGTGTGTGGTGCTGGAGATCAAACCCAAGGCCTCACGCATGCTAGGCAGATACTCTGCCACTGAGGTACACTCCAGATCTATCATCTCTTTTTTGTGTTTGTTTTGTTTTATTATATTTTTTGATTTTTATTTGGGGTATTGTGTTTTTTAAGAGTATTTACATTTAGTGGGATTATGTGTTTGGGCTGCAACCTATCATCTTGCTATTTCTTTTTGTCTCAT